TGCTTCAGCTGGAGCACTCATAATGAAGTTACTTCCATCATTATTAGGTTAGAAAAGGAAGCAGCATTTGCTTCGAGAGAACACAGATAGGGTTCTGTGAAAGTTCTGAAAACTTGGGAGATGGCTGGGGAGCAGTGACACAATCCTTCTGAAACTCCTCTTTGTTTTCAGGTCTTGTGATCTCCCAGAATAACCATTTCCTCACCCAAGTGCTAGATAAGAAACCGCATTCCAGCTTCTTTGCTGGTCCACAAGGCAAAGACAACTTCATTTGCATCTCAATGTCTTACCTGGTCACAGGAGTCGAGGAATGATGCAATGGATTTCTTGCCCTGCAGGAAAGAGCAGTACCTAGGGCCACCTCTACTTCAGGGTTAGGATTTCTCAAAAGCAAAGCAGTATTACTTTCCTGTGAAGTTTTCTGATGAAAATATTTTTTTGTATGTGGGGAAAAAAAGAGTTCTTTTGGTTTCTTTTTTCTTTTTTTTTTACCTTAATGTGTTTTGGGTTTTTTTATAGAGGTTAGATACTGAGTCATATCTGAAGTCAGCTTTGAAGCTTTGACCATGGTGTAACTCACATACTTAAAATTTTAAACTTCAGTTTGATTGATTCCTCATTCATTACTCAGTGTTTCCTCCTAATTTCTGGCAGGTAGTAATTTCTGTGTTTTGGGAGATTTATGATTTTGAAAGTCAACCAGGGGAAATAGTGGGAGGATGCGGAGAAATATTGTCTTGAATTGCTGACGTAGAAGCCCACAAATACAGAACAATTTCCATGTTGTGTTGATGTTTCTCTACAATTTAAAGGACACTGGTCCTTTAAATCCTCCTTATACTAAGGAGGATATTTTTTACTAAGAGATAATTTTTACTCTAAAGTAGTTACCATTTCCTGACTCTCCTAATTTAAAATTTTATTGTAACAAGTTGGAAATTGCAAATCTTGTCTGCATTGTAAAGTTCCTCTGACCAAGACTATTTTTTTACTGCCCATGTGTACTCTAGAGATCAGAGTGAAGGCATTTTAGCAGATTTCAAAGGTTTCGGGAGGATTTCATATACTATTTAATATATGAAATCACATTTTGTTTTAAACAATGATCCAACATTTCTTTTTTGAAACGGAAGCAGTAATAAAGTTAGAGAATTATAAATCTTTAAGTGCTCGAGTAAAATGTTCGTTCTTTTGCAAACCATTGTCAACAGTTGCAAAGCATGAAAGACAGATCTGTCTGTCTCCTGTTGTTCTTGGAGCAGTAGTGTCTAAAGGGCAAGCTGACATGCTGGAAAGCATTTCCCATGATAAGGTTAGAGACTGTGAGTGAGGTGAGGAATTATTTTTAAACTTTGAAGTTACAGGCTGGGCTCCATTAACAGATCATGTGAGAGAAGGTTAAACAAAGGTGCTTGCAGAAGAGGAGAGAGGCAATTGAAACAACCAAATATGGATCTTAAGTTTGTTTTCCTGAAAATCAGGTAAGAGGAAAATGAGTGCATCTGCTTTTGGGGTAAGAGCAGTGGTGACTCGCAACTGCTGCCATTCCTACTTTACAAACAGCAGGACTGAGGAAAAAGGAGCAGTACCATGCTGTTGTGGCCACTGAAATCAAATGAATGACCTATGGAGAGATAACTCTAGGCTCTTCAACACTGAGATTAGCCTTGTTAAATCATAATTCATCTTTTTTCCTATTTCTGCTAATCAAGATAAACGGAAGGATTACCTAATTTGCGGAATGCGAACACATTGTATAAATCAGTGAAAAGCACATCTGCCAGTCTCTGGGATTCAGTAGAAGCATTCTCAGCCCATTGACCCCCAGGATGCTGGCAACTGCTGTCAGATTTACATAATAATTTCATATATTTTAATAACTGCTTAGTCACTGTGGCAGGCACACACTACACCAAGTCTTTCTGGCCACCAAGGACCTACTTGATTTGAATCTTCTCACTATCAAGAGAGCAGAGTTTCTTTTGATCTGTCCTTCTTTGATCACCCTCAACCCGTGAAGCATCCTAAATGTACACCCCAAGCTTCAGGACAGTACAGCAAAGGTAAAGGACTTCTGTGATGGTTCTCCATGAGCCACTGTGAGTGTGTGCAAGAGGACATTCATCTGGGTGTAAGATGAAGCTGTTTCAGTTAGTGGCCAGCATGAAACAAGATATTTTAGCAAACTGTTTCACATCTCAGCAGTGATTTGATGGTCCCATGACAAGGCCATACATAGTGCAGCAGCTGCAGAACCGACAGCTGAATGCTGCTTCTCTGACTTGTCTATGAACAGCTATATATAAGCCTTTGCAATTTCCTCTTGCTCCATAGGGAAACATCCACAGGGATTTCACTAGACCTTGCCCTTGGGCTTGTAGAAAAGCATGAGTGACTGACACAACATTCATATGATCACTTCTCATCTTGTCACCAGAGTCTTCCTCTGTTCTTAACAGGCTATTGCTTGGTGTGTGGTCATGCATTACTAGAAAAGTGCACTGGCATGGGGTGGTCACTGTTGTGCCTACAGTACCATACAGCTGTGCTGGACTGTGGCTCAGCTGCCTAATAGTCAGACCTGTTCAAGCCAAGCCTCACTATTCCCATCTCAGAGTCCTTTACTTGCAGATTCCTACATCCCTGAACTATATCACTCAAAGTAAGACTTGGGTATGAGCCAAGTAAGCTGTTTTACACACTGGCTTGCAACCAACTCATTACCTACAATATCCATGATTTAATGCAAAAATTTGGTCTTTGCCCATGGCTGGAAAGTTGTTTGATGACACCCCTTTGTTCAGAGGCTGTCCGGATGCTGTGTACCTGGATTGCCTTCTGCTCTCTTGCCTCCTGATAGTGGTTCCAAACCCTTCCATTAGCATAAAGGGCAGACAGTTGAGCACACACTGCAATTCAAACATAGCACTGGCTGCTTCCTCTCCCCCAGCTGACTTTTTTAAAAAGATTTTGTGTTCAACTGTTCAAAACTGTTCAAAACAGAGGCTATGTTTAAGGGAGAAGAGTTTGGACTCCCTTCAGTGCTCTTTAATTGGCAAAAGCTAGGGAAGCCCCTCTGGGGTGGGGGGTGGCACAGGAGCTGCTGGCAGATGTGTCAGGAGAATGCACTAGGACAATTAGTTTGCCAGGGTGAACACAGTCTGCTCTAGCTACCATGTCTGCTGACAGAGGCTTTCCTTGCTGCATGTTTCAATGCAAATTTTCAGAGGCCCTCAGTCCTGACACTTGGATCTGGAACTAGGTACATTCACAGTCTGTCCGCAAAATGTTAATCTCCAAATACTATGATGAAGACAGAGAGAAAGAAAGAAAAGGAGGAAGAAAGGAAGAAACATACAAAAGAATCAACTCACTAGAAGTCTAGAGTTTACCTTATTTTGTGACTATTTTGACAATATGTACAGTGGCAAATATCAATGTAAATATTAAAATATTTTTTATAATTATTCATTTTTCCTAGAAGAAGAGTATTTTTGGAATTGGCTTTGTAGTGTGGGTTTTATTTGTGTTACCAGGACTTGTTTCATGGGATAATATATCCATAACTCAAATATAAGTTCACACACATTGTTTCATCTGTGCTTTGATGGACTGAATTTGTACTGTCCTAAACCATTTACAGATTTTAAATCAAAATGCCTAGAAAGAATAGTAAATTATTAATGGAAAAATATACTTTAGTGATGTTCTGCATTTAGTATACTATGATTTAAATTAAAATGGTCCTTCATAATAGTATTAAAAATTTCTCCCCTTGAAGCAGAAGTTAAAACTAAAACTACAGAATTCTCTAATCAAATACTGGATTAGACTTGGTTGAGCTGGCTTGTAAGATTCCCAATACCACGGAGAAATTTGTTTTTTCCTCCTCTTCTTTACTTCTCACTGAAAGACAAGCCAAGCAGAAGTGGCAAAATCCAGCTGGGACTGGCCCATACTTCTTTCTGTATTTGGCTACAGTTAAAAACTACATGTAAAACATTGCTGATTGCAATTCAAGTCTTTGGTTGCCTTGTTTGTCTGAGGGGGACTGGAAATATTAAATCAGTTTAGAAAATTCTGACTCAGATAACTGTCTGGCTTTTCATATTAGCTTTGCAAACTGGAATTGATACAAACATGTTTTTAAATGATAGCAGAATGGCTAGCATGGATCTCTGCATGTTTTAGTTCTGGTTGTAACATGCCCTTTTAACCTGGACTTGGGGCAAATTTTGTGCCTTGCTGATGATCCTGTCAAATCCAGTGCCACCAAGGTTGTTTGCTCCTCCCGTGGTAACCTCATTGAGGTGGAAGTCCATTTCCTCAGCCACAGTCTCCTCTGCCGCCAGTGGTCTTTCTCTTAACCTTTTCTCATATGAAAAAGGTTGTGTGCTGATGGCTCCTCATGCAGAGTGAAAATGAAGACAGAGTTCCCGGGAGCGACTGACAGTTGGCTTAAGCAGAATACATGGGATTTTTTAACATTTTTCCTAACTTTTCCACCCATCAAGTCAGTTCATAGGCCTTTATAATGCACTTTTATGCCTCAAATTCTTCAAAGCAAAAAGGAGCAGAAATAATCTCTTCCTCTTTCCTGTCCACAAGCTTTTCCAGCAAGACCATTGACTCTATAAAATTTGATTTCATTAAGTGTCACTACCTTATCACTAGCTTTTGAGAAAAGCCGATGTCAGCAGCCACCCTAGATATTGTGTTAATGAACATTGTATGTTTTCAGCTAGATCTTGATTGAAGATAATCAAAACAAAATAAAAAGGAGATAACAAAATACCTCACTGAAATAGTATCACTAGAAAAGGTAATGCTTTGCATTGATTGAATACCTTCCTCTTCCACCAACGTTAACTAACGATGTTAATTAAGTTAATTAAGTCCTGTGAGAGAGTAGGGGATCAGTCCTGAAAATAATTCAGGACTTGCATCTCCATAAAACCCTCACACAGCTGTCAGGACTATTTTCTACATATTTTCCTAGCTAAAGCCTGGTTGCGGAGACAAATTCCTTGGGCTGACAAATCAGCATATGTGTCACTGCAGCACTGCCTAAACTTTAGGGGCAGAAGATGAAAGCCAATTCTCAAGCTGACTTTTTTCCCCCCCTTTTTTAAGATAAATTGTTAGTACGTTCTTTGAAAAGGCCCTGAACCATTTGTTTTATGCAAAAAACAAAAGACAACAAGAATTCATCAGCTGGCTTTGTAATTCATTCACTCAGATGTAGTTTCTGCATCTTGAATTCACTACAGGCTCAGAGGAGAAAAAAACAGTCTATGGCCCAATGAGGTCTTGACTGACTTGTTGCTGTTCTCCTCAAGCAGAGGAATTCAAGAGGATGCTGGTTACTTGTTCTTACATACTAGAGCAAAGGTACATTCACGGAAACTCAGCTGCAGAGTGCAGTGGGTTTGGTTTTTTTTCTGATAAGACTGCAGATAGTTGGGCCATGGCTCTATGAATGCTAAGCAGGTGAGATATATCATACAGGAACAGTTTTATCCTCAAGTCTCTGGACAACCTTATCCTTTCCTTCAGTTATGTACTTGCAGTTGTGTATCTGCATAATTCATGTGCCTGTTGCCTGTTGTTTTCCTCTGTGTTTCCACTTTGTTCCTCCCTCCCACTGGTTCTGGGAACCACCAGGGTTACCTCACATTTCTCAAACAGGTTTTTGAAGTTAACCCCAGTGTTTTCTCACTAAATTGCTGAGTGTGCCACAAAGCAGGGACTTTTAATAAACAGGGAGTGCGAGCAGAAATTCAGCAGAATTAGTTTTTTCCATATTCCTGTTATGGAAATTGGAAAATACTCAAGTTTCACATGAATCATAGTGAAGCACACACAATGTTATTGTGCATCCTTTCATAGGCTGAGATGAAAGTGTGGAAGTAAGAGTAAGAGTTTTGCTAGGTAGGCAATGCAAAATAAATGGTGAGATTTACACTTGCCCCGCCCACTCCTTAGACAGACTATCAGTATCTTCTCTTTGTTTTTCTTCCCTGAAGAATATGACACCTAGGGCATCACATCGTCCATGTGTCTATTTTCCTCCTATATCTTTTGAGGACATTGGCCATTGCAAGTCAGGTGTGAAAGGGAGAAGTCTCCAACTTGCCTGGAAGGCAGCAGTTTGATAGGAGAGAAGAAAACCAAACCAGAGCCTCTGCTGGAGAAAAGCCAGGGAGACCAGAGCTGCCACAAAATGTGCTTGGCATCTGCACTGCAGTGTTCCCCCATTTGAGCACCTACAGCTCCAGACTGGCACAGCTCTCTTTTGCTCAGTGGGGATGGGAAGAGATATGGAGAGGAAAGAATGAACAGGAGACAAAACAGAGTTCCAACAATAATGAAAATTCATTGGTTCTGCCCTTCCACTACTTTTTCTGCCATCCATGTTGGCCACCTGTCTCCACAGCTGGTTTTCTCATTTGCTTGCAGAAGATCCCACAGCTACCTCTGTGTCTTTACTGTAGTCTGACAGATTCTGAAAGAATCATCACTAAAGGTCAACATATTGCATGAGGAATCCATTATTTAATACACATTTTAAAAATAGAACACTTTCCCATTTCTGTAGGTGCCATTGGCAGGAACGTCCAGCCATCCCAGTTCTGAAGACAGTGAAAAATTTGCTTTGTATGCTTGCTTGTCCTACAGCCTTTGTAGAGTTTTCTTTTGTCACTGGAATAACTTGATTTCTTCTGAGTTTCCTCAGACTGGAACAGATGTGTTTGTTTTTTTCCACATCCCCCTCTCCTTTTGACTAAAAAGTCATCTCCTATGCTCTAAACATACCTGAAAACTTTTGTTTTCCCTCTTCTCAAATTGTTGTCCAGCTATCTATCTACACGGAGGAGGTAACTGAAAACATGAGGCAGAAAATGGTGTGGAGGACATTCTCTGTAGAGCCACCTTCATTACGGAGTCTGGTCAGAAAGGGTTAAATTCACACACCACAAACATGGATGGAGGTGGCACTCAGTGCTTGACCAAGAAAGGCATTATGCTTTCCCTTTGAAAGATGACACAACTCTCAGACACTTGTTGCTGTAGCAGAAGTAGCATGTGCCTACATACATTTCTGTCCAACCATGCATTTCCAGAGAGGTTTAAATGTGAGAAGCAGGAGCCCCACTAGCACAGTGACTTCAAATGCATGTGTCCACGCATGACTTACTTGGCTAGCAGCTACAGCAATGAAACAAGTTTTGCCAGTAGCTTGGGTCCACATAGTCTTTTCCCCATTAAATAGGTCACAACATTGTTTTTCAATTTGTGTTCTTGTTTACTGGATTCTTACCCTGGCTGACAGATAGCCTGAAGGTACGGTGTTGCAAAGGGACAGTGGAATGGCTGAAGGTCCTCTAATGAGATGTATCCCTCCTGTTGCAATACCCTTTGTATCTCTACAGAAGCCCCTGTGCAGACTGACAGGAGGTCAGTGAGGGGAGAAGTTGGGGGTCAGAGTTGTGCTATGCAGGTTGGTGATTGTGCAATGCCGTGTCCCCAGGCAGAGACTTAAGTCAGTGAAGCAGTGCACTCCAGTGTCTCCCTGCACCAGACACCTCCCCTTATTTTACCAGAATGCATCACATGCAGGCTGTGCAGGAAATTGGATGTAATAGATATCTGGATATATTGAGAAAAAAAAAAAACTGTGTGAAAGAGCCCTCAACTCCTTTCTTGGGTGACTTGTACAGATTGTACCTCCAAGAGTGACAGGGGACAAAACAAGACCATCTCACCTCCAAACAGCAAGTGTGCTGACAGGAGTCGAGGAAGAATTGTAAAACAGCCAAACAAAGGAAGAATGTTGCAATGGTCATTTTGAAATAAACCTGTTTGTGACGAGCAGTGACTGTGGCAATATTTACGCTATGATTCATTCCAAAGTGCAGCACCTGCAGTTTTAGCGTGGATGGCTTTTAGGATAGAAGCAGCAGCAAATTCTATTCTAACATTTAATGATGAGAAAGCAAGCATTAAAGCCGCTCTTGGCTCTGGTTCTGCATTAACTTAAAGTAGAACTCGTGTAAGGGGTGTCTGGAAGCATCTTTCCACTGCCAGGTGCCTGTTGCTTGTAACTGACTCTCAGTGGACAAGGGTTCACACAGTTGTTTCTCTCTCTGTATGCACTTGCACTTCCTCTTCTTTTTTATGTGACCATTGCAATTACAAGAAACTCAGCTGGCATATATCTGACCACATTAGAGCTCTGAGGATGCCCTCAGAAAGTCCCTTACACTGCCTTCCACTCCTCCTTGATGACAAGACTGAACTTTCTTATCTGCTAGATTGTCGGGCGACAACATCCGTCTCTGTCTGTAGGCTCCAGGCAGCTACTAGCAGCCTCCTTACAGGAGTCCTTGCAGACAGACATGCATGTTATTCTCTCAGCACTACTGATAAACAAACCGCTACAGCCAGGAAGAGGTCAGAGGTGGTCACTGCTTTGTATGCCTGGTTGTTGATGATGTTGGAAGGCAGCCTTTAGAAACTCATCAAATTCCAGTGGCTACCAGTGGGAGCTGCATGTGGTAACACTGCAAAAACAGCTCTTCTTGGGGAATCAAAAAGTCAGGTTCCTGTTACTTTACAAAAACTAGGCTTCAGAATATGGGACTGCACTCCCACTCCTGCCCTAATAATATCACTAATACCTAACCAGTGAAAATGCCTGGCTTACTGGCCATGTTAGCAGAAGAAAATGAGATCAGGAAAGAAAGTGTCTACAGATTATTTCCTCTGAGAAGATCTTTGCTTCCAACAAAATCTTCAACATTCAGACTTCTCAGTTCAGTCCTCAAAGGTACTCAGTGTTTCTTTCCTACAAGGGCATAAAATACTTGAAAGTGCAGGGAAGAGTCTTCAAACAGACTGGTTGGAAGACTCCTCTGCTTAGCACTACACATGTTATTTTGGTTTTTCCCTGTACTTAACTACTAGAGTTAGTTTGGAACAGTTTAAAGAAAACACCTTCAAACACCTAAGGGGGAGAGGGGAAATAAGAATAAAACAGTTGTTCAAATACACAAATGCCTATCCAAAAACCTGGAAGAACTGTTTATTTTGGGAAATTTGCTCACTCATGTTTTGCCCTTCTCACCTGTCTTTAATTTTCCACTCAGAGGAATTTTTGTTTCTTTTCCTTTCCATTTCAGACAATAAAGCTGATTTTCTGTCTTCTAAGTCAATGCAAATGTGCCTTCTTGGGAAGGCTTGCCCTGGAGAATGGCCCCTGCAAACAACCTATGTGTCAGCCACGGCATGGCAATTCTGCTGCTTTGAGGGTGCAGAGTGAACAGATTAAATGAAGACTGTTCTTCAAATGCAGGATTACAGAGAATCCTTTAAATTCATAGGATTTGTTAAAATACTAGGGAAAATGCTTTCTGATTCACTTACAGAAACAGTATGATTTGTTGGCTTGTTTTTTTAATGCTTTCCCAGTCATAGTGATCTAGATTCAGGTCTTGAAACTATCAGTGGTATTTGGTGTGCAAGAAATGGAAAACTGAGACTTGCTTTGTAACAGTACTTTGAATTTAAATTAAATTTGCTTATTATGTTGGTTTAGGAAGCAACATTTGCAGCAGCTGCTGTATATCTGTAAAATAAGGGATTTTTTCCCCCTTCTTTTCAAACTGAAAGGAAAGCAACAAGTCCAAATGTCAATAGACTAAAAATATCCAGTGGGTATAATGAAAGAGATGAAAGGGGTCAGATGACACACAGATGAGTTTTGCTCAAAAATGTTTAATGGTGAGTAATACCATATTTCTTCTTCATGTTCTGTGCCTTTCCATCCTCATTTCCAGCTAGCCTCTCTCCTCCCAGTGCTTGTTTTGTTGCAGCATGTAAAGCCTAGCTCTTGTTGAGGTGAGGTGGTATGGTCCACATAGTGCTGCAGGAACACATCAGACCCTGTACAGCTCTCAGGAGTTTAGCAAAAGTAATGGTCGCTTGAAGGATGAGAGCTCCTGCAGCACTGAGACTTGAACCAGTTTTAGAAACACTCCCTGTGCCGAGCTGCAGCCCAACCCTCACAGGCGGGGTAGGACTATTATCTGCCTGCACACCAGAGGGCTGGGTCAAGGATGGATTCTGTGACTTCAGCAGTGCCACAGGAATCCTGTGGCACAGGCAGGAGCACAGCAAACTTCCTTTTCCTTGCTTCAGTACTAACGTTGTATCATCACCAGATGGACCAGAATTAGCTGTACCCAGGGAACTTGAGAAGAGAAGGAAAGACCAATGGATGTCATTCCTCCATTTGCTACCTGGAGTAACCCGGTACTGAAGAGAGAGGGTCCTGAGTCAGGAGAGGTCAATACCACAGTGGTGCATTTGCCATGCTGCCCTTTCCTCCACAGCAGAGCAGAGGTACTTGGTGTTCAGGGCTTGCCTTCCTGGTTAAACATTCCCCAGGGTACAGGCTCTCCCAGCTCACATTTGCCAGTGTTTCTGGGTTTGGGATAGCTGCTGTTTCCCTATAAGCAGGTAGAGAACTGTTTTAGTTCCTGCTAAGGGCCACTGGCACCTAGACAGAGTTTTACCAGAGCTTATGGAAATGTTTTTAGTTAAAACAACTATTGAACTCAAACCTTTACAGAGTTTGAAACTATTTATGTGTGTGGTTTACGAAGCAGTTTAGCTGATTCGAACCAGCATTACTGTTGAAAAAATACATTCTGGCCCTTCCCTCTCCTGTCACTTCTCATTCCTTCTCTAAGCTGCAGAAGCAAGCTGATTGGGCTGCAGACAAAGCCTTCAAAGCCAAGTGACAGGTTCTTGCTGGATTAGTGAGCTGAACTGGCTGAACATGCCAGGTACTAGTGTGAGCCCAAAAGTCTGCAAAGCAAAGGTGGAGAGGACAGGTCTCCCCCCTTTTAGTGCAACACAGCTTTAGATTAGTGAAAAATACTTGGGAAAAATGAACCACCAAAACTTAGTGTTGAGACTAGAGTGCTAACCTGAGATATGGCAGAACTTGGTTAAAGACTCTTCTGTGTCAAGCCAAGCAGAGGTTCACACCAGCCAGAATCACATACACCTACACTTCCATACACATATATAATTTCTGTTTATCTCTTTCCATTTTTGCCAAAATATTCTGGACTAAAGTAAAAATAAAAAATAGAAAAAGCAAAACATAAAAAACGCAGAAGTTGCTGCAATTGAGTACCTAACCCTGCTGGCTGTCCTGACTGTAGTTACAAACATAAATGCACTCTCACATGCCAGCTACTCTCCAAATAAGAGTTGTCAGCATTGGCCAGATTTGTCGATCAGCTGCCAGCAGTCTCCCAACAAAACAGATGGACTAAGGCTTTGAACTGTGGCTATGATCCAGAAGAGCACCTGCTCCTCTCTGCCCCAAACACGTAATTACGTTAGCTGCTGCATGCTTATTTTTGTTTACTGTTTCCCAATAACCTCTAACAGTGCTTCTTTTAAAAGAGAGCTTAGATAAAGCTGAACACAGTACTTACTAAACTGTAGGGAGAATTACACTCCCTCTTGGAATGAATGTAAAGGGACTCTGCCAGAACAGGACATACAGAGCACTCCAGGAACCCATACCAGAACATGGGTTGGCTTTAGAAAGAATGGCTTATCTTATTTTCCATGTGCCTTGTTTACCAGGACCGTGGATGAACCAGGGCCTTCCTCTCTCAGGACCCTGTCTGCATCATGGGGAGTAATGAAGAGGATCTGTCATTGCCTCCAGCTGCCATTTAAAACTGCCTCTGCTCCCTACAGAAAGCAGTGTAGATGTTTTGCAAAGGTGAATGCCATCAATATGTTTTCCAGTCTGGTTATTTCAACACTTAATTATTCCATTCCCACTCCCCAAGGTGCTTTATTTACCTGGCTCCTTGGAGCTGGCACTCACAAGTAGGCTTCGGGGAGCAGAGGTTAGGAGGAGCTTTCCTGATTTGAAACTGTTACTGCAATTTGGTGCCCTGATGGACTAAAAGCTGAAAGGAAGGACTATAGCTATTTATGATATAGCAAAGCCACATAGCTTATGAAATTTGTTCCTCGTGCAAGAACATCAACATTTTTTTGACCCAAGACTCTAATTTCAGTGTTTGGCATCTGCACCTTTGATCAACAGTTACTAGTGTATAACATCCTCAATCATTAAACAAGGTCAAGAAGCCACTCGTTTCACACATTTCCTTCTTTTTCACATTCCCATTCTACCTTCATCACCAATCTCCTGTCATTTAATTAATAGAAACAGCAGGAGATGACAGAGAATATTGAATAAAGTCCCTCTCTCACTTATAGCTATGCTGCAGCCCTCCTTTCTCCACAGTGGTGTCCAGGCCACCGTCCCATGTCAACTACTGCATCTCTGCCCATCAGCAATAAGACAGTGCTATCCATGGCTAATGATGGGAAATGTGAGGAGACAACATGTCATCTAAACTTGTGTCTACCATAATATTATGGCTGTGGCTTTAAATACTTTTTACTGTATAACATGATTTGGACAATATCTCTCATTAACAGTGCGACTGATTCAAACGCTAGTAAGAGGAAGGACATCCTCACAATTAAGCATGTGTCAGATGAAAACTAAGTGGCAGAGGCAGTTTAATAACCTTGCACCACACCCTGCGTGATGTCAACAGAGCACTCAAGAAATCCCTGTTGTTGGCCATGCTAATGGAGGCCCTGCCTGAATTACAAATATGATATAGTATGTCTCCAGTTGGGATTTTTAAGTGTTGGGAAGCACCCTCTGGTCCACAGTAGAGAGTCTTCTGCTGGGCAGATACAGGAAACACTTCTATCAGCAGAGAAGGCAGAAGTCGCACAGTCTTTCTGTGAGACAGTGAGTGCTCTTGGACAGTGTTTCCAATGAGCAATTCCAGCTGAATTTCTTAGTCCTGTTTCAGAATATAGCCTAAATCACTTACACTACAAGCTTTCCATACTTCATTACATTTTCTAGATTTGAAAAAGACAATTGAATTTACTTGGCAGATAAGTTTTAAAAGTGGAAGTTGCAGAAAGAGGATACAAACACCTTTTTGTCCCATCAGAAATGACTATATTTGCATGACCTTACTGCTTCCCAAAATTGTCATTAGCATTGTTTGCACACTTTACTTTCTAAGGTTAACCTCAGCTGGATAAACATGTAGTGTTGTGGGCAGATAACAGGAGTAAAAGGATAGGCAGAGAAATGTAAGCCCTTGAGTAGGACTCAGACTAGGTCTGCAGGACAGTTCCTCCAAGTTACAACAGGAAATTGGCTTCAGCTTATGCAAAATGTGGCTCTGGACCTGTTGGATATTAAGAATAAGGTTGTAGCAGCATAAGTGGTCCTTGTAGGTCTAACCACTGTAAAAGAACCATAAGCTTCATGCTTACTGTGTATGCACGGATCCACAAGACTCTAAAGACCTGTTTGGGAAGGTAGTCTTCATTCACTTCTATCTGTTATACAAAAGCACACCCAAGTCATGTGCCTGCTGTGGCAGTCACTATGTAGATGTGTAAGAGGGAGTTGTGGCTCCAGATTGATAGTGGATTAAAGGAGGTTTTTTCTATCAGATTTTGAAACTAATTCTTCTAATGACAGTAACAATTTGCATATTACTTCACTTACTAGTCAAAGTGAACAGTCAGCAGCAGTCTCTATTAGTAGCTTATAGAAAATTGCTGCCAAAGGTTATGTTTCTCCATTGGAGAAAACTTTTCTTTTAGAGATATCACTGAAGCCACATCCTAAAAACAACATGGATCAGAGATGAAAATGACAACTATTTGCTGAAAAGAAGTGGTTTCCAGCACTGTTACAGAAATCAGCTTCACTTCTGGGAATGAAAAAATGGAGCACAATGAACACTAAAAGAAGCAGAATGTTCCCCTTACTGCTTAATGAAGTGGTATTGGGCTTTACACAGCTACATATGAATGTCAAACCTGAGTTTAGTGAGATCCCTTTGTGCTTACAAAGTCTGTTCCTGAGCTCACTGGTGGAATGTAAAAGATTGCATTAAGTCAATAACACCATGAAGAAAAACATAAAGCAGTTGCACCCCTGTTCTCTCCAATGTGGTATTTTGTATTCACAGGTAAGGCCACAGGAAATTCAGAGATCACATCCACACTGCACAGCTGAATTTTGTTGGAGTTGGGACCATGGTTGAACTGATGGTAGAGAGAGGCCTTGGGACCATTGTCTTTATCTGGCCAGTAACAACAGGTACCCCATCCATTTGCTCTTTTTCCATGCAACCCCTGGCTCACCAGGTGCCACAGATGGCATTTCCCATGAGTGATATAGCACTCTTCCCTGCAGCGAGCAATTTAAAGCAGAAAGGTGGGTCCCATAAGGGAACTGTGAAACTGCTGCACCAGCACAGAAGACTAGAATGTTTAAATAACTAAATATCCTTACTGAAGAAGAATGTATAAAACAAGCTGGAATTTCTCACCCGATATGTTTTTTTTGGTGGCCATGGGAATTCCTATAGCACTTTCCTAGCTATGATAGCAACAAATAGGATAACTGCATAGAGCTAAATCACAACTGCGGAAGTACTTCTTCCTGTAACACTCCTGAAAGTTACTCTCCCTATTTTGCTAGGTACAAACCAACACTGGGTCTTGGAGAATGAATGGCAAATGGGAAGTCATGTGGTTACTTTGTATTCTGTCTTTATATCTGTCCTGTACACCCAAATTGACAGCAATAGATTAGGTTTCATATTTTCCTGGGAAGGCAGCAACAAGTGCTTTGCAAAACACTTCTCAGCTGTGTCTTATTACCTGGGGTAAAATGGTATGGAAATCCTTCTTTTCCCAGTAGCACTTGCAAGCTCTGGGCCTTGATTCAGTTCCTGAAACATACATAGAAACTGTGTTAATCCATCAGTTTAAATATTCATGCAGCTGCTTTCTAAACCTCTATAATCAGACTGATATTGCAGGTCATGCCTTAAGCTTCCTCCAGAATCTTTACTGGCACTTGACTACCAGGTGTAGCAGCTGCAAGTGATATTTCCTTCTGACCATGAACAACTGAGGAAATTTATCTCATCCTATCTGATGCTAAGTTGGTTATGGTGACTCACCTCCTTCCATGTTTTCCAGGTTGTTACAACATTCTCCAGCTGCCAACACAGTCCCACGGGTCTGTAGAAAACTTTTTTCAAATTGTTCTAGTTATAGAGGATGGTGGTTAATTCCTTATGTATAACCAAATCAGAGTCTAATCCTAGCTATCAAAGCCTTTAATGAAAAATGCCTCCAAAGTAATATCTTTCCTGCTTCTTCTGCAGATACATACCTTAGGAATGATGAAATAATCCACACTATAGGTTTAGGAAAGTAGGATCTGCTTCTGTCCTGGGCTTGGTACTGGATTTCATATGCATTGATACCTTGCCTTTGGCACAAAATTCCAGACCTTACCCTCCCTCTGTTTTTCCAATAATAGAAGCTTTGGCTTAGCAATAATTGATTACACTCAACACTGCACAGAATATTTTTTCTCACATTTGCAACCAATAGAAACAACTAAAAAAAATATGCTAAATGCTACAAAGTTATAGTCCTTTTTAGGTAAATTTAGTGATAGTAGGATTTGCTGCTGACCTTCTCTTTGCACTCCCTTTGCTTAACTGATTGCTACATATATTTTGACTTGTAAGCAGTCCTGTGTAGGGGATGTGCAAGTGAGACTGATTCATATTTAGGGAGAAACAGACTAATCAAATTATACTTCTTTATGGCCAGGCTAAAATAGCAGAGTTTGCAATGCAGTGAGCAGCTTAGCTCAAAAAGTCAAGCACGAGGTGACTCAAAGAGTCATACACACACCATCTTTTAACATCAGCAGTCTAACCCCCCTAATGCAAGAGTCCTTCCCTCTTTCCCATGTTTCCCTGACAGAAGTTTTGAACAGCACAACTCTACCCTCCCCTCCCTGTGCACAACAAGCTGGTGTCTCACACAGCATGCAAATTCCAATCCTCCCTCCCCCTCTAATCTGCTGAGGTGCAGCAGAAGCATCCTGACTATATTTCCAACACATAAGGCCCAGAGCTTCTGCCAGTTTGTTACACTCAGCTGTGACCTAGCCCAAGCCCACAAGGAAGATGCCTTACCAAGCTGCACTCTGGATCCTGTGCAGATACAAGAGAATGTGTATTCATGAGCCTCGACACATAGCCACCAGAAATGTCTTCACCATTGCAGCAGGTGTTACACATTTCTGCAGAAGTAAGTGTGGGCCCAGGCTGTCAGCATCTATATGCCAAGAAATCCATGTAAGATGCAGCGTGTCCATGCATTCACTCCTGTTTGAAGCCCCTTATCACCCTGCCCACATCTTAGTCTTCCTCTCTGCCTACGTGATGCAAGTGCATATTAGCAGTGTAGATGTCCTAGGCTTGGTGACAGCAGGACCCAGAGTTTGGACAAGATGGTCCAGGTTTGCCCTTTCTCATGGTAGGCCTGTGATTTTTAAGGTACAACCAACTGACTCAGCAGCATTCTGAAGAACGATCTTTAAATATGCACGTGTTGTGTCTGGACCTCACCCAGAGTACTCTGGCTGGTGCAGAAATGCTAGGTCAGTTTGGCTGATGCAAAACTGAAACAGGTCCACCAAGATCTTCATCTGGATTTGAGGCAGTATTAGCTGCTGGTCCCACTGTTCCTGTAGAGCTTGTTATGATAAATGGTATAGCCACACAGAGGAACACAATCAGTCCTCTTCTATATACAGCTCATCTGACTCTTGGAGATCCAAATACTTCTACATGAAAAGTCTGAATGGCTTGGCAGTAACCCTTTTGGAAACCAAGTACCTTAGGCACTGTTAGAAACTGATTTTCTTGACTTCCGAGTCAGACAATGACTGAAAAGAAAGGCGAGTGAATTTCTGATTCTGGTGGTTTTTTTGTGACCTGCTGGAATCAGTTTAACAACAAAAAGTCAAATAGAAATAAATTTTCATATTGTGCAGAGTGCTTTCAGGCCACCTTCAAAGAAGGTACTGCACTGCTCCATTTCCTCTGACTTAAAGAGAGGTTTCAGCCAGCAGCATGCTTCATTTACTTTCTTTGGAGTTACAGCTTGGGGATTACTCCTCCATTCCACTGGCAAAGCTGAAATAATGATGTGATTCAAGTTGAGGCACCCGTTTTAAACAATGATGTAGCAACACAGCATCTCTGCAATAAAAAGGTTGCATTGAATTAACTCCTTAGAGTGAGGAATGCAGACAGCAGAGTTTAGGACCTGGAACTGGTTCCAGCACAGCTTTCACTGTTGCTCTCTGTAAAGACCTGACCATTTAGGAAACTGTGCTCTGGCTCCTTTCTAAGCCTCCTGGCTCTGTCAATCTCTTGACATTTGGGTGTTTCTATATCACCATAGTCTCATAATTCTTTCTCCATCACTTGAACCCCAAAGATCTTAAAACCTGTGGCTGTCTCCAGTTTACACCCTTTAAAAGTGACACGAATTGTATATATCTACCTCTACACAAGGCCACCCCTGGATGCCCCTGTCCCACCCTCAAAATCATTTGCCACCGATCTCTTGTGTCTTTCCAAACTCAGCAGTCTGGTCAGCAGCAGAACTCCCAGAGACAATACAACAAGTAAAACCCAATACAAATAGCAATATTTTCCTATCCTATGCATGCTGCTGCATGCCAGGGAGAAAACACTGGAAAACTGATTTGCACCAAAATGCTTGCTCCCTTCCTATCTTCTTCAGAAAATTTCTTCAGAATTCGAGTACAGGTGTCAATAGAATACATTTCTAAACTGCAAGACAACTTGTAATGCACCTTGGCCTTGAGCAGCTGTGTGGCAAGCTTGAGTTTGTCTGTATTATGGATTTTGAAGACAAAATGAAAGTTGGGCCTCATCTGCTTTATGCTCAGAGTTGTGTTTCAGCAGCTCTGCTCTGAAGATACAAGGATGATAAGTATCTAGCTTCAGTTATTTCACTGTCAGGAGCTGAGCTTAGCATCTTCCTTGCATGAACTATACATTCTGTACATTTATGGCTAAACTTTTTGATTTTGCAAAGACCTGCATTTTCTCCGTTTCTGGAGTAAGTCAGGGAGGATCAGTGTATTTTTTAAACACAGTCCTGGAATGCAGCTCTGCTCCTAGCTGCATTCACAAAACAAAACAGAGAATCAATAAAAGTGAAGCAACTGAAGAGATGCCCACTTGTATCATGTTGTCAGCCTTTTCTTTTATTTAACTGTAATTTAGGAAACAAATTTTTTTTTTTTAGTCCGTGGCACAGGATTTATAACAAAGCAATCCAAAGCTATCCTATGACTATGACTCACTTTCCTGAGCCAATTACCATGAAAACTGGAAATGTTGCAAGAGGCTGTTACGGCTGGTCAAAGATCCATCATAGCATCCACTAAGTCATTTATACTCCCAGGGCTGCATTTTACAGTAAATGAAAGCAGAGAACTGTCAGGAACATGCTGTTGGGAGGGGTAAAACAAACAAACAAAAAAAAGTAAAAGAAGTAATGAATCAGTGTTGGTAAGTCAACCATGCATCTTGAGCGCACATAAAGCATCTGGGGAAGCAGACAGGGGAGGAATACTTTTCTGATTGAAAAGTATAAAGTTTTATGACATGAAGAACCCATCACACACCAGAATCTGACAGAAGTACAGAACATGTCCACAGCTGGAAGGGGAAGCATGGTGGTGGCGATAAATTGACAGGCAAATATGGGCTGCATAGAGCTGGGCTCTGCCCAGAACCACTTTGAGCAGCAGTGGAAGATGCTGAATGCAGTTTGTCAGAGGCAGAATATCAAAGCACAGACACCTCAGGGTAGGACTTCTCATTAACCATACCTCTTACTGAGGACTAGACTTCAAAAAAATGTTTAACTAAGGAGCCTAGTGATACCCAGAGAAGTATTTAATAAAGCAAGGGTACAATACGCAAAGAAAGGCACTGGGAAACAGCAACTAGCATTTTAAGAAGGGCCCACTTAATTTCTTTCCATCATACACAGGGTAGAGGTATTGTGCAAAGCTGCCTGCATAAAGTGTCATATTGAGACTGTGCAGCTATCAGGGAGCGATGCTGGGAGTTTAAATAAGCAGCACCAGCACAGTTCCTTGTGTGATGAGGGGATCTTTAACGTAAAAGACCATTACTGCAGCACAGGCTCTAATGCAGTGTTCTTTCCCTCTGCAGCACAGCATAATCTGGAGGATTCCTGATGACAATGTCGCATCTGCTGTTTTAGTTTCCTTTGTAAAAAAACACAAAGAAAAAGGCTATGTACCAATCTGCTTTGCCTTGCCATTTGTCAAAATGAATGCAAATCCCTATGCTGCATGGGGACCACCTCTGCAGCTAACAAATAAATAAATATTGCTGCAGTGTACTAAGATATCCCTCTGAAGTGAAACAGGAGGTTCCCAGAGCTTCAGAAGGCAGGCAATGCCTCTTCACAATCGTGACTCTAAGGAAAAAAGAAGGTTCAGTACTCTTCAGCAACAGAATACGATCAACTAAGATGCAACAAGCAACAGTTTATTTGTAGAAAAGTCCTTTAAAATTTTACTACATTGTAAGATTAAGGAAAAAATAGTCTTAATGTATGTACATACAATATATATAAACAAACACATATCGCACCATGAAAATTACATGCTTTTTAGAACAGAGAATGGGTCATATTCCCTCATATCAATTTTAAAGTTATCACTGCAAGAAACCTTGCTTCCTTTTTTTTTTATCCCCATCAAAGTTTTCAAGTACAGGAAGTAAGTAACGCAGGATCTAATAGTAGAAAACCTTTGTTATACACAAATTACAACTGACAGCTAGACAATATTATTCTGCAGTATCCAACACTTGTGTTTTTTGAACTCTGTAATGATACGAACTTTTACCTGAGGTGCATGGAAATAATGAAGCATGATAATTGGCAAGTTTAAGAGATTTTCACATTATGATCTGACTGTAATTGAATTTGATTAGGTATCACATGTCTATACCCATAGTACTGGCACAGGAATGCTCTATGTGAGTCATCACCAATGTCTTAGAAGTGCAGGAAAAATTAACAGGCAAGCACCACTTGCAATGATAAGCATGCAGACAATTTAAGTGAAACAGAGGTAGCATGTTCTTGTAATTCCAGCAGGGTCATTCAAATCAACTGCACCCTCCCTTCTGCAAAAGGCACTCGCTTTTTCAGCTAAAAACAATGCGCTTAGATTTGGTCAGATTGATCACAAATGGTGGATTTTGCTCCTTAAAAATATTAAAAAATTTCAAGCGGGGGACACAGTGAAAAGAAAAAAAAGGGTGTAAGAAATACACATTTAAGGTAATATGTGCTATTATTCTCCCCCTACCTTTTATGGGGAGAATTATATAAAACAGTTGCAGTATATAATCCAAAAGTTAAGACTTTCCAGTTGAAATGGCAGTATTAAGCAGCACATTCTGTATCAGGAATAGCTTTAAACCACCAGAAGTACAACAGTCTTTTTAATAAAGAGCAACAATTCACAGTTAGGAGCAGAAAGGTTATGCACATAAAAGGTGGCACTAGAGAAGGATCCTTTGACGTAAAATCTCATAAATTAGTATGCACTGTAACTCTTATACTGTATCTTTTATCCTTTCAGCAGTTTAAAAGGACGTCCATGCAAAACACTTCCTCTTACCGTGACACTACAGAGCTAATTGAGTTATAAGATGTGCCACTGTTGCAACTGGAAGCATAAGCCTCTTGACCATTAGCATCTAAATTAATTTTGAATACAGAAGATGCCTTCAGTAAAAAATCTGCTGCATCTCTGCGACCTAATTCCCTCAGCTTAGACATCAGGATACCTACAGTACTCTCAGGTGCATTACTCCATTCCTGCAGAAGGGCATGAACTGGACTTGAAAGAAAGTAATTTTGTGTTCCATTATTTGTATTGTACTTTGCAACAAGATCAGGGAGGCCTAGGTTCATGGCCAGAAGGCACCAATCTTTGCCCATAGGATCAGGTGGATCCAAAAGTCGACTTAATTTTCTCCTGGTAAGTAGATTCAGATCGGAAACATGAATATCCATTCCTAGACTTCCCTGGGAGTAGACATCAAGACACCCAAA